CCATCAAGGAACTGAAGCGCAGGTGGGCGCCGGTGTCCAAGCACCTCGTGGCCTTCCAGTCCGAAGCCATCCGAGGAGTTACCTCGAAACGCGATCTGGGTTTGTTGGGGCTCTTCGTCGTCCTCATGCAGTGGGGCGACTTCGCCCTCCCTCACGGCTTCATCAAAGGCCTTCCAGCAGTGGGCCCCACATTATGGAGTCTTCCCCCACCAACCCGTCGAGGCGATCGCCCACTCGGAGGTACTGGCTGGTTGGGAGGAGCGCAACGCCGCCACTATCGCAGGAGTGCGACCGGGTTCCACGGACTCTTTCGTTCTGGAGCAGTCCACAAAGGACCACAAGGACCCCCCCCATGAACCTGAGCCAGCTCAAGCGGTATGCCAAAGGAGACCCATACCGGCTTATACCTCGCTGTGTCATCACACAGGCGTCTGGCAAGCAGCGTCTGATAGACGACGCAGCACGGGGCGGGCAGTCTGCATCGTCCAGAGATGCCAACAAACTTGTTTTGTGTACGCCGCTCCGCCCAGCGCTCCACGTCCAAGCTGCGGCAGCCTGCCTTCAGGAGTGCACCTGGGAGCGGTTCGCGCAGCAGGGGCAGTGGACGGGAGCTGGAGATGATTGGCCGAATGCCTACCGCCACTGTCCCATGTCACGACAGGAAGCCCTGGCCTGCGTAGTAGTTTGGTACCACCAGGAATGGCAGGAGCCGGCCTTCCAGGTATACCACGCCCTCTTGTTCGGCCTTCCGCTGGCGGTCACCTCCTTCAACCGCTACTCCCGGATGGCGGAAGCTATGGGCAGGCGCTTTCTGGCAATCATGGTGTCCATGTATTTCGACGACAGTCACATTACAGACCGCGCAGTGCACGGCCCATCAGCCCAGTGGAGTTTCGGCGCCCTCAACGACCTGCTGGGCACCCCGTTCGCTGAGGAGAAGCGCCAGGGAGCTGCGGATGTCGGTACCTTCTTGGGGCTTGATTTCGATCTCTCGGAGGTCCACACACATGGGCGCGCGCGGTTTTGGGTTCGAGAGCGACTCGAACAGAAGGTGCTCACCTTCATGCGTGACGCCAGGAAGAGCGGGAAGTTCACCCCGGGTCAAGCTGCGAAACTCTACGGCATGGTCAACTTCCTGGAGCATGGCCTCTTCGGGCGCATTGGCTTGGGCGAAATCCAGGCGTTGAAGGAGCACCAGTACGGGGGCTCCAGCAAAGCCAACGCCAGCCTGTTGGGGGCTTTTGACGTGTTGGAGGCTATCAGCTGATGGTCCTCCCCATGGATGTGCCGAGGGTGGTGGCTGCCTCGGACGCGGCCTTGGAGGCACCTCGTCAAGGATCCGGCGGATACCACTTGGTCTTCCAGGACGGTGGCGTGCAGATTCGGGAGGCCTTTGTAGCCATCATCCCCGCGCAGACCTATGACATGTGGGGACCAGGAGACCATAAAATAGCCCAGTTGGAGCTATTCATGGTGGTGCACGCCCTTACGGCGAGACCCGACCAATTCCGCGGGAGACGCGGAGTGTGGTTCATCGATAACATCGCCAGTCTTATGTGTTTGATCAGGGGCAGGAGTGACAACCCCGACTTGGCCAAGATGGCGACGTATATCCAGTGTTTGCTCTTTGCGTTGCGAGCCTCACTCTACTGGGAATACATTCCATCCAAATCCAATTGGGCTGACGCGATCAGCCGATTAGGACCCAGTGACCCATGGTACAGGGCCAACCACTTCAAGTTGAATTTCAGTCTTTTCCCTCCAGCTCTACTGAGGCTTCCGTACCGAGCAGTGATTACCTTTGCTGAGTTCCTGTGAGTGCATTGGGAGAGGTTGTGAAATAGGTGGTGAAAGTAAGTGCGTTGGGAGATGTATCCTGCTTGATGCAGGGCATCCAGAGCTTATCGGGGGTAAACCCGATGTGCCGAGGAAATCGGCGAATTGGCTGGGCCACAGCATGAGGAAATTCATGCTGTGGATACCAATGCAAATCCCACAGGAAAAGGTGGGTTGTTAGTCTATCAGACTCGTGTAGCATCGCTGGAGTGAAAATGCTGCGGTGCTGTTTATGTCAAACCTCCTTGGGAATGTAATCCTGTATCAGGTTGGAAGGCTTGGGTTTACAGGCTTCATTCTGCAAGGAGTGTGTTGGATCATGCGGGGCCTTTTGGCTCAAGCATGATCCAAACTGGCTAAATTTTAACCCCACCCTATCCCGCCCTAGATCACCGGCCCCCCTAGTTGGGACGAGCGCGCCGCGCTTGGGGAATGCCTGGGGGACCAGGCCCCCAGTCAGTCAGTTAGCTCTGTGGTGGGAGATGTATCCTGCTTGATGCAGGGCATCCAGAGCTTATCGGGGGTAAACCCGATGCGCC